TTTTTTTTTTTTTTTTTAAAGAAAAGGCCCTACATCGGCGGCATTATGTGCATTCGTCAGGGTGACAGGAACGCGTACATGGGCATACACGCGGATGCGTACTGGTACGTACAAATAGCTACCGTCGGCATGTAGAGGCATACACAGCAGTGTTAATTCGTTGGGCAACGAGCATCTCGTTGCTGCTTGTGGAGTCTGGAAAAAGCGGGACACAGAAATGAGGGATGGCGTTGGGAAGCACGAAAGGAAAGGCATGACGAGTTAATTGCACGATGGGGTCACACATAACCAGTCAAATGAGTGAGAAAAAATTCATTACCGCATAGTACCCAATTAGGGTGGGATATTTGTACTGCACGATTGAGTGAAAATTTGGTGTGCTTATAATCGGTCTGTCCCACCGGGGGTTCCCGCAAATGGGGCAAAACGAAAATGAACTGAACAAATACTGAAGGGTGAACAAAATTCAAAATTAAACATGTGGCAACAGATGCCAACATGGCACCATGGACAAAACAACATTGAGTAAAGTTAAGGATGTCAGGTGCAGAAAGGCACACAGGTGACATGTTTCCCTGGGGATGGCAAACCGCATGGGGATAATACACTCAGGAAACTGTGTGCCCAAACCGCAAGGCCAAGCATGATAAAAAATGTCACATTGTTGTGTACAATAAAAGTAACCCTTCTTTTAAGCATCCCCTCGTTTGCGTGTGTAACGTTTGTGTAATGGGATACATCTTTTCATCAGAATCAACACGCAGGGTGCACGCCCACCACCACCCATGTTAATCTACTCAAAATAATGACCGCAGGTAGGGAAACATATATAAAACGTAAATGTGTCATAAGTTGCACAGTGGAGGCTCTTTGGTCACTCTGCCTTTTGCGTATAAGTGCCTACTGGATAGGGCGATAAATGATCAGTAATATTTGCCCTCACAGGTGTGGGGAATTCAAAGCAGGCCCAAAATAGGCAAAGCACCATTATTACATTCGAATTGTGCCCTTGTGATGTTGTGGCACCTTGGAAGGGCGAACAAAAAATGGGTCTTTTCAAATGCCCATGTCAGGGCGATGTGTAGCACAGTGGTACGTTCCCCCGTGGGTGTGCCCCCATATGCGGCCACAAGTGGCACACACGCACATGGCAGCCAAGTGTACCATCCCTATCGGAACAGTACTTAGTACACTTTCATGGTTATCATTTTTTTTTTTTTTTTAGAAAGTGTTACATTTTAGCTAGCCAGGGCAAAAGGCCCCCTGTCGATCAATTTTTGTGCAAATATAAATTGGCATTTTCAAATTGTGGATCTTTCCAATAGTAGCATTGTATATAAAATGTTGTTTTCCCCTGGAAGGACATATTTCGTTGTGTAATTTTACCAGAATGGAGTAAATGTTTCTTTCTTCCTTTTTTTTTTTTTTCACATTTGTACCTGGCTCGGTAGGGTACATTTAGAGAATTACCTGAACGTTCATAAACATGTTGGTTGTTTTACACAACTAAGGTGATTGACATACAGGGGTATAATTTCAGATGGCGCAGATGATAAAGTAACGGAGTTAGTTCATTTCAAGGGGTGAATGAAAACACTTCGTTTTGGAAATAGTCGTTTTCACAATGCAGACGTTTTTTTTTTTTTTTTTCTGCTAACCATTCGTCTATTTGTTCGTCCAAACATTAAGGAAAAAAAGTGCACGAAGCAAAAACACAATAAAGTTGCACTGCAGTAATGGGGCCTATATATGTCACATTTTCTTTCCTTTGAGAACAGCTGCAGGACAGCATTGTCTCCTGAACGCAATCCATTGCATATGTGCAAAATCAACGAAGTGCGATATGCGAAAATTGGTACGCACTGCCCTTATTGTGTATTTAGGCATACGTTTAAGAATTGTTAGCCCCAATACGGAAGCGGATACACTGTGAGGTTAATAAAATGTAGTGCTCCAATAACGTAAAAAAAACAAATGGAACAAATTAGATAGCACATGGAAAGGAAATATGTGTCACCGTGGTGAGTTCCCATTTGGCTATTCCTACATGCACAGAGAAAATAACTGTTCTCATTAGGTCCACCAGAAATGGGGGCAGCACAGTTGGAGCACACGTTTGTTTTATAATAACCTTAGTATTTTATCACTCATCATTTATAACCTATTATTTGTGTGTTTCGTTTTTTTCTTTTTTCCTTTGTGACGTTTGGGCGTTCCGGGTGTACTACGTGCCGTGTGTATTTATGAGAATTCATTTTTTGGCATTCTCGCCCGTCCTATCTTTTGGCCTTATCGTATTTTTTTTAAAAACGATAAAATTACGGATGAGTGCACAAATGAGAAGATAACATTGCACACAGGAAAGCACCTCCTTCAGCGAGCTATCGTAATTAAAAAAATAACATAATTAAGGGAAAAAAAAAAAAAAAAAAAAAAAAAAAGCGGTCTCCATTTCCATCCATGGGAAACAGGTGTCTTCATATATTATTAGCCTTAAGTGTGTACAAAAAGAAAAAAAAAATCCCTTTTTGACATTGCACTTAGATCTATATCTTTGTCTCTAGGAAACTGGATAGGCAAGCAAATTAACAGTATAGCGACACGGAAAGACGATAACAAAAAAAAAAAAAAAAAAACAAGACGGTTACATATGCACTTAGATGTGGGAGTGTGTGCGCCTTTTTTCTCTGTCACCTTAGTTATCCATTTGAATGTACCTCTTTTTGCGTATCTGCCTTTTTTTTTTTTTTTTTCTTTACTATCTGATTTGGCTAATGCGTCCTTTCCGGTCTCGCCGGTGGCTTTACATATAAATACGTAAATATATATATTATATATATATTTATATATGTATGTGTGTGTGTTTGTGCGTGGGAAACTTATATATAAGTTTGTCGTTCGGTGAGCGGCGAACCTTAGGAGCTTCCCCGTGGCTACTTGCCACGTGCACATCTGTCTTTGCGTGATTTGATAGCGATACCCAGCTATATCATTTCGACTTGGAGCAAATGCAGAGTTTCTAGAGTTCGCTGTGGGGATGGCTTCTTTTCCCACGAGCAAATTTTTTTTTTTTTTTTTTACACAAACAGCCATAAAGATGAATAATACATATGCTTGTATATATGTGCGCGTAAATCATATGTGTACATTTTTTTTTTTTTTTCTGTGATTTTTTTTTCTCCCCAAGCTTCTTTTTTTTTTTTTTTTTTTTCCTCATGGCATTAAACATTTAGTCATTAGGTGTATTTCTTCATTTCTTCACTTCTTCACATCTTCATTTCGTCATTTCACATTTAGAAGAAAAGAAGAAACCAAAATAATCTACTTGCATGCAATATAGAGAATCCCTTTTCGGTAATTAAACCCTGGCCACAAAGAATTCAGTCCCCTTTTCAACATTCCTTTCTTTTGCTGATTTGTTATTCCCCCCCCACTGCTTGTGAAGAGGTACAGAGGAAGTGTGCGGTGGAATTTTCCACCTTAGTTTTCGCGTGTGTTTGCAGGGCCTTGCCTCAGGCACGAACACACACTCTCCACAGGGTCATCGGGCGCCTCGGCGACCTTGCGCCTTGGACATTTACGCTAGTGTATTTTGTGATAGAATCAGTTTGCTCGAGTCCGCTTCTCCCCCGTGCTTCTGTGGGCGGACTCACGTCGGCCCCGCAGCACTGCGGCAGACACGTGGGGGTGTAGAAGCGGGCGTCCCCCTCCTGTGGGATTCACCTTAGGGGTATTCACCTTTGGGGGGGAGGGGGATAACCGAATAGGTGTCCGCATACACTGGGCTTGCCATGGTAGAAAAGCCTGCACACCACCATCATGGTACCCTCTTTACTGCACCTCCCCCCTCATGCAGTTAACTAATTCTAAAAATGAGAGAAGTAATTAGCATTCACGTAGGTCAGGCTGGTATTCAAATTGGAAATGCTTGTTGGTAATGCGATGTAAAAAAAAAAAATTCTAATCGTGATGGAGAGTAGAGAAGTTTGTCCCACGCGTGATGGTTTCCGTGTGCGTCCCGCTGAGCGGTTGTCTGATCGGGTGGAGTATCAGTTTGCAGCATGGCCCACCATAGCGCGTGTACATAAGTAGACGCGCGATTACAGACACATATACATATTCGTGGTGCTGCGCTACTACAGGGAGTTATTCTGCTTGGAGCATGGAATTCAGCCAGATGGTCAGATGCCCAGCGACCAGGTCGTTGCTGGGGGAGACGATGCCTTCAACACCTTTTTCTCGGAGACGGGCGCCGGCAAGCACGTAAGTGGAGAGAACACTTACCTGGGAGCAGCTGCTCGGGGATGAAAAGTAAACAAAATGCCTCCTCGCGTGTCCCCCTTCGTGCATCTGTTCATCCGCTTCCCACCACATGCTACCGCCGCAGGTCCCACGATGTGTGTTCGTCGACCTAGAGCCAACGGTCGTAGATGAAGTGAGAACAGGAACGTACCGTCAGCTGTTTCACCCAGAGCAATTAATATCAGGAAAGGAAGATGCCGCAAACAATTTCGCAAGAGGACACTACACAATTGGAAAGGAAATAGTAGATGTATGTTTAGATCGAGTGCGAAAATTAGCAGACAACTGCACAGGGCTCCAAGGTTTTCTCATGTTTAATGCTGTGGGTGGTGGAACAGGAAGTGGTCTCGGATGTCTTTTGTTGGAAAGGCTAGCAATAGATTATGGAAAAAAATCGAAATTGAATTTCTGTTCTTGGCCTTCACCTCAAGTATCAACAGCTGTCGTAGAACCATACAACTCTGTTTTATCTACCCACTCTCTACTAGAACACACAGATGTAGCAATTATGTTAGACAATGAGGCCATCTATGATATATGTAAAAAGAATTTGGACATTGAAAGGCCTACTTATACAAACCTAAACAGACTAATAGCTCAGGTCATTTCGTCTTTAACAGCTTCTTTACGATTTGATGGTGCCCTAAATGTAGATGTTACGGAATTTCAAACAAACCTAGTGCCTTACCCACGTATCCATTTCATGTTGTCGTCGTACGCCCCTATCATTAGTGCAGAGAAGGCATACCACGAGCAGCTCTCCGTGTCTGAAATTACAAACTCTGCATTCGAGCCTGCTTCTATGATGGCGAAATGTGATCCTCGTCATGGAAAGTACATGGCTTGTTGCTTAATGTATAGAGGAGATGTTGTCCCAAAGGATGTCAACGCTGCTGTTGCGACGATTAAGACAAAGAGGTCCATTCAATTTGTTGATTGGTGCCCAACAGGATTCAAATGTGGTATTAATTACCAACCACCCACTGTTGTCCCTGGGGGAGATTTGGCGAAAGTGATGAGAGCCGTCTGCATGATAAGTAACTCCACCGCAATTGCTGAAGTATTTTCTAGAATGGACCAGAAATTTGACCTCATGTATGCTAAGAGAGCATTTGTCCATTGGTATGTTGGAGAAGGTATGGAAGAAGGGGAATTTAGTGAAGCCAGGGAGGATTTGGCTGCTTTGGAAAAGGACTACGAAGAGGTCGGCATTGAGACCAACGAAGGTGAAGGGGAAGACGAAGGATACGAATGAGCTATGCACTTCAAAAGTGCGTAGAAGTATGCGCACAGAGGCGGCTCAAAAAAAAAAACAAATAAATAAAAATAAAAAAAATAAAAAAAAAACTCGTGCGCTCGGTAGAATGCTCCATGCTTGCTGATTTGCACTCCTTTACATGAAGGTGTAGTAGCTTAGAGGTGTAGCGGCACAACAGTGTTTTTTTTTTTTTTTTTTTTTTTTTTTGGCGCACTACAATTTTTTATGCGCTTTATTGAGGGGTGAACAAACTAGCACAGAAGTGTGCCCTACATATGGACGCTTGCACTTATGTGGATATTTATTTATCGATACACAGACGTGTGTGGTATGCCCCGTGCCGCCAGCGGCAAGTCGAAGGCTGGATAAGCCAAATGGCAACTGATACCATGCAGTTATATTATCCCTCTGCGCGCACCCAATGAACACACCCATTTAGTACAAATACAGTGGCGAACTCAAATGACCATTTCACACTTTTACATTTTTTACAAAAAGGCACATTGAACGGAGCGAGAAATTACTGGAAGTATTGCCAAACTTATTGGTGTACATAAGCGCTGGGAGGGGACAAGAAATTGGGATGGGCATGTCTGTTCGACGCTTTGCAAAATGAAGATGGCGTGGTTGATGTACTTCCTACCCCCGGCGTTGAGCTCCATGTGGTTCAACTTTTCCTATGAGTCGCCAAAAATTGCTTTAGTAAGGACTCTCAGGTTCATTTCTAAATTACCGTTCACACAAATAAGGAACGTCATTTGGCTATAGTTACATTTTTTTTTTTTTTCCCTTTTTTTCTGCTGACCTGTTCAGGTGAAAATGTATATTTTTTGTGTGGCAACTTTTTTCAAGGATAAAAAACAAAAAAAAAAAAAAAAGGGGGAACGCGCGTTTCCAACACAACGTGCTGCATCCTATTGTTGTATGTCAAAATAGGGATAATATATATACAGTGGCTCTTTTATGTGTGAATCCCACGACTGTCACGAAACACGCAGAAAAAAAAAAAAGAAAAAAATGTTCCCCTTAATTATCCACACAAGTGAGCATGTCATATTGACGAAATTTGTATTAAAAAAAAATTATAACGCTTTCTCTGGAGGACGGATGATGGAGCGGGAGAAATTTCCTGTTTGCGATTGCAACAAGGTTGAACGAAGGGGAAAAACAACGGGCGTAAATCCTCCATTTTCCTGTGGGCGTAATAATCTTTCCTTTGCGCCGAAAAAAAGAAAATAGGCGTAATAAAAAATGTGCTGAGCGTGCGGTATATTATGTACAACCACCCCCCTCCTCGTGTCACGCACGTGTTGTGGAGTTGTGAGGGGTTTTCAAAAATAAAATTCCCATCGGGGGGCGTGTACACTGTTCCTCCTATGCGTTATAGCCCCGCATACTTAGGCTTTTTATTATATATGCCACTCTCCTAATATACAGCGCAGTGGGGAGGTCAAAATGTGACATAAGAACCATTTTGGAGGGGGAACGGAAAAGGTGCCATATGATTGCGGGCTTTGCCAACCCTAAAAAGGAAAAAAAAACATAATGACAGGGCCACAGAAGGTCCCTTTCACGCAGGTGAGATGATAAACGAGTATGTCGTTATGCGCGCTTGGAAGAGGGAGAGGTACACCGTTTAAGGCTTCGCCAACCACACGTAAAAAAATTGAAGAAGGGGAAAGCACTGATCACGTCATAAAATATGCACTGGCGTCAACGCCCATTGTTTTCATCAGTGTTACGCGTCATGCGTAGCATACTGTGGTTGGCCTTTTCTCTCCCACGGCGTAACTGCGACTGGTGCTGTTGCTACGGTTGACGGGTGCGGTCGTGGTAATTCCTCCACGAAAAACAAAAAAAAGATGGCCATGGCGAACTCACTGCGGCACCCAGTTTTCCCCGCATTTGGAACAAGAGCAGGGAACAAAAACAAAAAAAATACAATAAAATGGCCACCACACCCAGTTGGCGAAATTATATATGTATTCCTCCACAGGGCGTTTCTTCCAACGTGCATATGCGCAAGGTACCAAACAACGCACTTGAGGTAAATTTTATTGTCACTGGGTACAAATTGCATTCCCGCCCCCGACGAGGCATTCAAACGCAGTATGTAAAAAAACAAAAAAAAAAAAAATTCACAGGAAATAAGCAACAATACTGCAGCTTGTTACGTGCTTGTTTTTTTTTTTTTTTTAATTAAAAGTGATTACGAAGAATCTACAAAAATAAATTGGCATCATTCTGAATGAAAGTAAATTTTGCATGTTGCGAGAATACAAGGAAAAAGGAGGCTCACTCACTTTACTGCTGTTTCGCAAGGCATTCTTTTTGTGTTTGTTCCCGTACCTGCTAAAAGTGGTATTATAAAATCATTATATGTATATTCATGTAATATATGCTCGTAAAAAATTGTACGCTTAGCGACAATAGGAAAATTTTGCCAAAAAGTGGAAGATACCCCAGCGCCTGTTTTAATCTCCCCAAAGGAGTAACATACAAAAATCTATTAACTTTAGCATTCGATTGAGGAAAAATGGTAATGTGAAAAAATAAAATAATTAAACTTGCTTCCATTTTTTGTATGAGCTCTCTGCGCATTCGCCATACAGGGGGAGAATTGTGAGTGTTGGCAAGTTTGCGTGAAAGCGCTAATACGACGTTTGAGAATGTGCCATGAGGCTATGCGACTTCGTTTCTCTGTTTTTCTGTGGGCGTGGAGGAGCCCAAGAAGGGGAAGTGGCAGAAAAAAAAAAAGGAGTTGCTGTAGAGAGTGAAATGATGAGAAACCGGGAGCCGCGCGGCGGAGACGGTTCAGCACTATCGTCCGTTAAACTGTTCCCCCCCCTCGTGATTAAGATGAAGAGCATGTGTGCTTACCGTGTTTGCGCTTGCCTGCGTTTCATGTATCCCGCACGCCACCTTATATCCATTTGGGTTTTTTCCCCCCCAATTTTCTTACCCTGCAGGCGGAAGAATTCACAGAAGATATAGGAGTAGTAAACAAGAGGCTACTCGAACCAGTGCCCTTTGTACGAACGAACAACTGCATCAAGGATGTAGACTCCGAGCTGTTCATTAAGGCATATGCTAGTTACTTAAAATTGCACAACAAAATAACCTTCCCCAAATGGTGTAACTTCGTGAAAACAGGAAAGGGAAGAAAATTGGCCCCCCTAAATGAGGACTGGTATTTTGTAAAGGCATCGAGTATCTTGAGAAAGTTGTATCTTAGTCCCGACATTGGAGTTGGATACCTCAGAAGGCACTACAGTTATAAGCAGAGAAGAGGTGTTGCCCCCAACCACACGAGTTTAGCTAGCGGCAAAATTTTAAGGTCAATTTTGCAGCAGTTAGAAAATCTTGGTTATGTAGAACAAAATCCGAAGAAAAAGGGAAGAAGACTAACGACTAAGGGGGAAAATGCCATCAATAACTTTGCCAGGTACATCAACAAGAAGGTGTATAAGCTAGAGAAGGAATGATGAGGACATAGGCAGAACTACGAAAATGCGCACCATACGGAGCATCTCGTGGAAATTGCACTAGGTGTGTATGGGCTCGCCGAGCGTGAGAGAAGGCCACCGGTGTTGCTGTATCGATGCGTGAGTAAGCTCATACCCCTGGATAACCACAATTATCAGTGAGATGAAATTTTTTCTTTTTCTTTTTTTTTCTTCTGTATTTTTTTTTTTTTTTTTTTCCATCCCCTTGTAAATTTTATACGTATGCATGTTATTCCCCCTTTTTTAAATACTTCAATGTTGTGGAACCCCTATAATATACTACTTATGCAATTTCACGTCGATTGGGAAGAAAGGTTACAGTAATATGCTGGGAAAGATGCCCAGCCGTACGACCCACACAGTGACAAATGCAGCTTTAACGTTTATGCGTTAAGTTTTTTAAAAATTACGGGAAGCACGATGGAATGCGCGGCCAAAGGACGTGTTTCACGTAGCAGATGATACAAACATGGTAAAATTACCTGAACAGCCAGGCGAAAAAAACAAACAAAAAAAACAATAAATATGCGTACAAATGAAATAAAAAAAATAATAATACTAAAATAAAGGAAACACAACGAAGAATGCCTGGACAAAATTACGCGCGCACAATTTGCAATTTGCCGCAGCCCCAACCAAAAAAAAATTACATGTTCACATATGCGAGCATATATATTTACTGCATTGCACACGGCCGTGCGCTTGTGCTATCACGAATACAATGTACCACGAGTACACGCAACCGATTTAGGAGCATCGCGTATATGTTTTCTTAACGCCGCAAAACATATATGCCCCTATATATTGTGTTACACCCACTTAAAATAATTATTCCGGAAAGAACAATTCTTCCTGTATTCAATTTAGTCCGTAACTTCCTTGATGGTCGCATTCATATAAGTATGCATGCTCAATGTGGGTCCATACCATTCCGTGTCAGCTGTGATGTGTATACGATGCCACGTATTATAGGTGTCTGCAACCATGTATGTGCCTACTGATGATTTTCAACTTCTGCATTTGCGTACTTCATACAATTTTATTAATACAAGAAATATGAAATTGGTTACTCCGCCAAGGCTTCAGAGACTTACGGTGAAATATAAAGTTTACTAAGTACTTCTGCTCGTGCGCATTCCTATTGTTTCCGTTGCTGATACGAAGTTCTAACGGCCCTTTCTTCTGTGTACTTCATTCCTTACGTCAGGCGGCAACGTGCACACACATAGTGGAACTGAACATCCCCTTACCGAGGGGTCATAGCTGGCAGGATTCATGCTTCGACGTTTCCAGTGTACAAATATTATATTTATTGTTATAGGATTAAGGGGCACTACCAATTATATGGGACGAGTATACATATATAAAGAAATATATATACTTACGTGCGAACAGAAGAGGGCGGTCATATCTTAACATTTATAATTATAGAACAATTTGCATATCTTTTCCGCATCTGCTTTCCTGAAGAATACATAAGCAGCGTAGATTTCACAGATGTTGCTTCTGTTTATGCCTTAGTAAAGGTATTTGTGCAATGACAGGGATGCATATATATGGATGAGCGCGAGCTACACGAAATTGTTCGTAGCCAGTGTTATGCGTGGAACGCTTCTCTGTACAGGCAAAATTAGTATTTTGCGGAATGGTTTTCACTGGACTCAAGCACTCGGGGGGGGGGGGTTGTGCCTCTGTAGAATGTGCTAATTGCCTTGGAAGGGGCGAATTGCATCCTTCATTTATGCCTTTCCCTCTATAGTACACTATGGTCTATAGTTGGTATATTGGAAAAATCCGCACGTGTCAGTTACCAATTGGACGAACTCGATACCTTTGACTCGACACGGCGGCCACAAGCTTTCCTGCCCACTTGTACATTGTTGCCTCTTTTTCTAAATTGCTACCCCTTTCTCCAAATTGCACTGTCTCCTAAATTACGCTCTCCTGTGTCTCATATGCATAAATCCACGTTCTATGTATTCCATAAGTTCGTATACTGCACACTCCAATCATCCTCGTCGCCGCTACTGCTGCCGTGGTGGCCGTCGCCGCACACACACACGTCGTCTACACCTGGGCTCATGCGACCGGTACGCTCCGCACTCGTTACGGATGCACTTATCGTGGCCGCCGCTGAACGTCAACGAAGTGTGGTGCTGTGCTGTTGTGCTGTTGTTGCCGCGTGTGCGTATTGTGGTGGCGGCATCCGTATTCGCAGTCATATCGGTGGCGGCCGTAGTGGTCGCATTCGTGCTTTCTCCCCATCGGTCCTTACCTGTCGGTCCCTGTGGTGATGCTGTTGCCGGCGTTGTTGTAGCTCCTGGGTTTGCAGGGTGCAAGGGTTTTTCAGCGGCGGCTGGTGTGACTGACGTTTTCCCTGGTCCTATATCGTCCAATATTTTCTTCCATGCCTCCCCTCCCGTTCCTGTATTTTTGAATTCTTCCATTATTTTCTTTTTCTGATCATCGCCTATAGCCTCCTTATTCTCAATCATTTTCCTTATACTATGTACAGTACCATCCTCCAATGCTGTCATTACAGGTTCATCGTGCACTTTCTTTTGTGCATTCTCCTGTGATCTTTGTCCTGTCGCGCCCTCACAATCCTTATTGCCCTCACGTGAATTTACTCTTCCATAGTGTATTTGCTTCCATGTGTTTATCCAATCTCCCATTGTTTTCCCAAAAAACGTTGAGCCTATTTTTAAGGTATCATAATCCAGTCCTGCACACACTTCCCGCGGATCTCCATGTCCGCCTTCCAGACCAATTTCGTTCACTTTATGAACTATCTCCTTGACAGCGGCGCGTGCTGCACAGCTTCCGCTGTGTAATTTCGCTATTGCAATAGTCCCCACCATGCACCTGAAATAATCCCACAGCTCACCTTCCTTTTCAACCTTCGTTTCCACTGTCTCCAGGCCCTCCAGGATATTCATTTTATTCATGAAAGAAAATATGCTCACAATGTCCACGCATATACGCGCCTTCATTGTCTTCCGGATGCTGTGGTCATCTGTAACAATTATTGTACAGAACTGCTGCATCATTTTCTTATGTTTTCCTAATGCCTCCTCTAACTCACTGAATATTTCTTTTATATCTTCCCATATTCCTTTCTGCAGCAGAGGAAAATTATATGTGTACCTGTGTATCTGGCTTTCCGGCCTAATATATAATATTGTTCTATCCGCTATACCTGAGCTCACAGTTCTAATATATTCCTCCTTCCATTTCTGTCTCCCCTGTGTTCTCCCTCCTAATTATTCATTTTAGGTCTTATATAGTTTACCCTCATACTAAATTACCTCATATGTTCCATCCTGTCTCCACATTGCCCTCTTCCGTGCATAATTTGCTAAGAGATCCCCTAATTTTGCGGCCATGTTGCCTTTATTATTATAAATCTGTATTTAATTCTTACTTCATATATTACACTGCCACATAATTACTACATTCATCCGAAACTGTCATGTGCTCTTGGTAGTACATTAACTGTCCACACTAACAAAACATATGCCTAAACTAAGGCCTCCTGAATAATTTTATCCTTTCATTAGAGATAGGAAAACACCAAGGAAAAAAAAATGGAATACCAAAGATGGGAGAACAGAAAGACAAACAGACAAAAAAAAAAAAAGAAACGACAGGAACAAATAGGAAAAAACTACACCGTCATGAGTACAGACATTCACACTAGTCCCATAACAACACCTATTCCTGAATCCTGTCGATACCCGGTTAAAATATATATATATACCCTCGATATATCATTAACCAGACTCCTTCTTCCGCCTTGCTTCCTTGTAGAAGAAGGGAAAATAAAAGTACTACTACACTACCTACGCGCACAACGCGTCACAAATACCACCCCCCACCCCCTTCTCCACTAAACGCCGTCACACACTGTCTCTGTGTGCGTACACAAAAACGTAGTAATAATATCCATGTCTGCCGTGGTTGCCGCGTCCTCGTACATGCATTGTCCGAGTGTAAGAACGGAGGGAGACATTGTCTCTCCGAGCAAACGCGTCGACCAACGCGGCCGCGTGCAAGAACGGAGCAGGCTTGTCTCGCCGAGCAAACGCGGCCGCGTGTAACAAGGAGGAAAAATTGTCTCTCCGAGCAACGCGTTCACCAACGCGGCCAAGTGTAACAACGACTCGACGACGGATTGTCCGAGTGTAAGAAGGAGGAGCATTCTCTCGTCGCGCCACCGCGGCCCCGTGCAAGACCGATTGGACGAAGTAGCCGAGTGTACGAAGGAGGAGATTGTCTCTCCGAGCAACGCAGCCGAGTGTAAGAAGGTTTCGACGAAGTAGCCGAGTAACGGGTTCGAGGGTAGCATCCAGACAAGGGGATCCAGAGAGGGAGCAGAGAGAGAGCGGGGGACGGGGAGGAAGAAACACACATATTTTGTGGGAAGGCGAACAAGAACCGGCAACGACGGCGACAACGACGGAAGAACAAATTGATGTTGTTGTTATTACTGCGGGGTTTTAGGTGTACGCACACAGAGAGGCAGTGTGTGACAGGCGTTTAGTGGAGACCGGTGTAGAATGGCGTATTCATGGCGCATTTTGTGTGTGTACGCTAGTGTAGTAGTACTGTTGCCTATTTTTGCCTGTTGTTTTTTTTTTTTTCTGTTTCTTGTTTTTTTTTTTTTTTTCATTCTTCTATTCTTCGTGTTTTTTTGCTTCCTATATTCATGTTTCCTTTATTTCCTACATATACGTCCTACGTGATTTAATAGTTTTCGAAGAAAAGAATTGACCTACGAGGTAGAGAACTAGTGGTTTTTGTTCTGTATAGAGTTCTAGTATTATGCATTAAGGCAGGGTAAACACCTAATAAGTAGTACCGACGGCATATCAAAAGAATGAGTACATGGGCCATGTAGTGGTTCATGCAGTTCACATGCACCAGTAGGGCACCAGTGGCGCATGTAACATTGTAAATTACCTGAAGAACAAAAAGGAAAATGAGTGGAAAGGAGTTCACGGATTTATTGGTGGCGTATATAAGAAGTAGACGAATCCAGGGAGATCAAGGCGATGGACAGGATTTTAGCGTACGTTGCCGTGAAAATTACGAGCCCGGGAAGAACATGTAGACTCATTTGTGTGGCACAGGGTGAATAGTACACACAATTATAGAATTATACGGGAACATATGGATAATGTGGGCTAGTATTGTTGTATACATTTAGAGCGAAGTATGTGGGGAATATTGTATACCATGTATACTTCTGTATACAGAGGGTAAAACTACGGGAGGTGGTAAAGTATACATGGATGCTTCAATTATTTCAATTGTAGGAGAAAATATGGACGGATATGAAGAGTATGTTCAGCGAATTAGGTGCATACTTGAATGAGAAACGATACGACATTACGATACAAACAATATGTACGAACAAAGAATTGCGGCCTGCGTATCTTGGGGATAATTTAAGTAGATTACTATGCATGGAGGTCGGGAAAATATTTTATTATATGGAAGGATTGAATAAAAAAGGAACCGCACAGAGTACTACGAATGAAGGAGACCGCGAGCTGTGGAACTACGTAAGGTGCATGATAGGGACCGTGGCCCTTATCAAGTTATATGGGAAGCAGTGTAAAATAAAAGAAATAACGGAACATGTTTCCACATTCATGCGTCCGCTGGAGGAAGCGCTCCGTGTTGGCACTAATAGAGACAACTGTGATTGGGTTAATTTTGAGCAATTAAAAATTGGGACGAGGTTCTTGGGGCAGGTAATGGACGAATGGGTTACAGAATGGAGGACACGACAACACAGAATAACTGCAGGGAACCAGGCGCCAGTATGTACCAGAAACAGGGGAAAAGAAGGTACAGATGATGCAGGGCAACAGGCTAAGGAGGGAAATAGTATTGACATATTAGACACTAACAACCTGGCAACAGCGACGGAGTGGATGGATAAGAGAGAGTATATGAAGAAGAGTGACGTGAAGGAATTGATCAAGAAAGAAGGAGGGAGTAAGAACAGTACGGAAGGTAAAAACATATTGAACACGGAAATAGACAAATGGCAGGAGGAAAGGAAGAACGGACCGGATAAAGCAACAGCACGGGCGGACATGCCGGCAGAGGCAGGTGGAGGACCAAACGGGGTACAGGCAACATTACCACCAACAACATCAACATCACAAGCACCGGGCATGTCAGCCACCGGTAATACAGGTACTGCAAGTGGCGCCATCGATCCCGCCACGGAGGCTACTGAGCCAGCTGAAAAACTACCACCAGGGGAACCGCCAGGTAAGGACCGATGGGAGAAAGCACGAATATGTCTGGCACGAATACGAACACACGGTGGAACAGTAGAACCTCTTCGCTGCCCTCAGCGGTAGCGGCGGCCCCCGTGTAGAAGAGTGTGGAGCGGCGACGGCGAGTATGTAGCGACGGATGCAGCGGCACGGCGGACGAGGGATGCAGCGGCTGCGAGATAACGGCGACAACAAATAAAAGTGTACTGCACCATGCAGCCGACCCAGTCGACCGAGTTCACCGAGTACGCATTCCACGGAGTCCACCTCGATCCATGCAGCCGACCCACTGCATCGACGCATGCAGCGAGCCGGACCCTAGCCTGCCGTTACCTCACCGAACCGTCCCGGCCCTTTCTTTCTGTACCACTGGTGTCCTTTGTTGTTATCATCTACCATTTTTTCTTCCTTAATGCAGGTTCAGGGGCCGCTAAGCCTGTGGCACCAAAACCGGCAGCACCCGGGGGATCAGGCGCAGTAGGCCACGGACCGGGTCAGGGACCAGGACCGGGACAACAACCCCCTGTGTCACCACCATCATCCGTGGGTACCGTGACGGATAAGACCAAGGAAGAACCTGCAGGTAAGAAAAGTACTTGTACCAAGACCGTGACCGTATCCCAAGTTGCGGCAGCAGGCCGCGGACAAAGTGCTGAAACCATTCAGGAGGATTTGCGTGGTCACGGTAGTACCATGATATCTATCAGTGTCCCGGACTCTTCATCCGAATGTTCAGACAAAGGTAACAGTGTTTCACATGAGCTTACCTCTGAGCTTGCAAACTGTGTGGCAATATGCCTGCTGGAATATTAGAGGAAGCAAAAAAAAACAACAATAATTTCCGGAGAGAGAGGGAGAGACACCACGGAGAGCGAGAAACCAAACGTCGAATGAGAATGACCGGCAGACCAACAGCGATGGGTCGGGCGCGGGGGAGCGTAAGCCGCCGCTGCAGGTAGATAGCGACGTAGTGACGTCGACGCCGACGTAGACAGACGTCGACACACACACACTGTGTGTGTTGTGTGGTGGGTGGGAGCCAGACAGAGAGTCTGTTCCCGGGGTGGCACCAGCCAACCACCGTGCCCCTACGGCCGGTTCTCCAACGGCCGTGAACCGTGAAACGGCGGCCACGACCGTAGCGGTAGCGGCTACGACGACGAGCGGACGACATGACGGCGACAAATATAAATGTACTGCTATTATCCACTCATGGTACCGTACCGTTCCACAGTTCACTCCCTCGCCCGCCGTTCCAATGATTCCATAGGGACCGTAACCAAATGTACCATTTGGACGTTACTCCTCAACAAAAAAAAAAAAAAAAAAAAACGATACTATTTTTTAAAAAAAATAAAAAAAAAAACACTCACTACGAATGTATGTCACTACATTGCGGATACATTGTACAATGGAGGCACCTGACGTTGGGCTCGTGCGATACATATATTAGATACTTGGATACTGAACAACTTTATATATTATACTAGCATAATATTCACATAACTCCATATTTATAATGGTTAATGGTATATTAATTTAAAAAAAAAAAAAAAAGAAAAGAAGCCCAAAAATTTTACACCTCCTAAACATTTTAACCGGTGAACCTTAAACCCTCAATCTTGAATCCGCAACTCGGAGTGATGCATACGGATCCTTGAATCATAATAGCGTGAAACATTAAGCCTTAAATACGGAATCTTAAATCCTTATTGCGCAATCTCATATTGCTGAAAGCTCACAATCCCGGAATCTTACATTGCGAAAACTTCACAATGGTGAAACCGTAAAAACATCAAACCCTACAATCCGGAAACCTCACAATGCTGGAACCTCGCAATCATAAAATTTTACAATCCCGGAAACCTTACAATCCCGCAAACCTTGCAATCCTGGAACATCGCAATTCTGAAACCTGACAATCCTGAAACCTCAGAATCCCGAAAACATTACAATCCTGAAATGTTACAATCCGCAAACGTTAAACCCTAAGTCCTAACCCCACAATTTCACCCTACATGCACCCTTTATTTATATATGCTCCTTACACTCTTAATTAAATCATTCGCACCTTGCTAATGTAGATAGGGATGCATGTATATGTATACAAATGGCTGTAAACCATATTCCTTCATTTATTATGTATCACTACGCGTAATACATCTGAGAACGATATAAATGACGACCACAAAAATAATAAACGGCCACGATATACATGTATAATTATTCAAATACGTGACAATAAGAATCCCCCCTAAACACTGATGCGAGCAAACTTTGAGCCCACGGCTATACATCGCAAAAAAATTTTCGCAGTGCGTATATGTAAAAGGGGCATACTTGATTCTGTTGTTACTATCTTCCTCACCCTTATACCTAATTTAAAATAGTAAAGTGTTATTCCAGATATGGAATTTTGCTCTCGTGAATATGCTCTTTGCTCCCATTACGCCGTTAAAACGGCGACATGATTGATCAGCCCGTGCTGAACTTGTGAACAATGTTGACCCCTTTAGTCAACTGTTACATCATATAATATGTACCAAGAATGGGTTATCCCGGGTTCTTATGCACTTTCTCTTATTCTTTATTTATATTATGGTGCATATGGGCTCTTTACTTAATTCATATTGATGTACTTAGGTAATCATAGTAAACCTCGTACAAAATTGATTTTATCAATGTTCACTATTGGCCGATGAACAAAAGTATTACACGCATAATCTATACACGTACATGTGGAAGACGGAGAAAACAATTCTATAATTCATACATATGAACAATATATCGCCACTTCTAGCATTTTCTAAACGGAAAAGAAAAAACAGAATGATGTTGCTTGTGAAACTCTCTATATTTATTCTCGTCCTGTGTTTATGGCAACTTGCTAACGGTGTATGATACCAACAACTGCATTTTGGGGGAGTTACCACATTTATTGTGATAATATCTTAACGCATTCATAACAACTGTAAACCGTCCTACTATGTGCACGCTCTACATCCTTCTGTACATACACCATAACACTCGCACATATTTCCCTTTTGTTTGTACATTTTAGGCAAGTACACTAGGCACATCTTTGGGTGATGCCACAAGCCAATTTGACACAACGGATGTAATTACAACCGTATCGTTGAGTGCTGGAACGGATGTAGGGAAACGGGGTCAACGTAAATTCTACGAAGGTTGTGCGACGGGTAGTCCGGCGACAAACACGATGTTCGATAACATGCGGAGAAAATTACAGTCCAGGGACAAAGTAAACAAGCCACAGAACAAACAGAAGGAATCACAGGATATAACTGCAGCGAGTAGTTGTAGAAGAGGTTTGAAGAAATGGACGCGTTGTAAAATGGGAAGGAGAGCATGGTCAATACTTATAGTAGTCGCCACAGTCTTGTATCCAGTACTGCCGTCCTTGGTACAAGCAAGTGCGATGGCGTTGGGGGTAACAGCAGAGCCCGTTGTGAGTGTCATCGCCATATATGGAAGTCCCATGCTGTGTGCAATTATATATTTGTGTGTGCTAGTATGTTTCTGCCGCTCCAAGACAGGGAAATGTGTATTAAGAAAAATTTGGAAGAAGAAGAAGAAGGAGGAAGTTTCCGCAGAAATGGAAAAAAACGAAGGAGAAGTAAATAAGAAACCGGAGACACGCGGGAATCAGAAGGTACCTGGAAAACCAGAAGTACCTAACAAGCAGGAAGCATCTGGGATATTAGAGGTACCTAGGAAACCAGAAGCACCCGGGAAATCAGATGTACCTCAGAACCAGGAAACACCTAAGAAACCAGAAGTATCTAACAAAACGGAGGTACCTGGAAAAACAGAAGTGCCAAAGAAACCGGAAGTACGCGCAAAAGCACAAGCACCTGAGGAACCAGAAGTACTCGTGAAACCGGAATCATGTGGAAAATCAGAAGTACCTAAGAAATCGGAAGCACCTGCGAAAATAAAACTACCCTGGAAACTAAAATTACCGAGGAAAGCATAAGTAACTTCCTGTATGCCAGTTCCGGCAGGCAACTTCACTGTTACAGTATGCTTATATATATTTCTTATATCTACCTGTTTATAACACTTCGTACTATGTTTATGACAGGGTTTATTAATATTTATATTTTGTACCATATAGTTGCGCCTTAAATTATACTGATGTTTATATCTGTCCAATGTACATGGTTTGTGTATATATAACGGGGGTTGTTTATGTGATACATAGTTTATTGATATTAAGAAAAGGCTAATGTACCCCTAAAAAGGGTATACATGGTACTACATTTTATATGTATGTATAATATACAAATATCCTATATGTAACAAACATTAGATGATGATTACCATTCATACAACCTGTGGCAAATATTTTTATAAAATGTAACAGTGCTGTTTTTTTTTTGTCCGCACTTGAAAAATTCTGGCACCGAATGAATATCCCGCGTTGACGGCACTATAAGTATTCGCAGCATAATAACAACATACTTCATGTAGAATATAGCATAAACAGATATAGGTATGCATCGTCGCCTGCAACATCATGTACAGGGACAGGCGCGCTGAAGGGGGACAGGGTACACACGTTCTTCCACGTCTCAAATATTTTTGAGCAATGGTGCACATATAATCCCCTTATATCCATAAATTCCTAAACTCGTGGCTGTTGCTGATGCCCGGTGTACTGCACACTCATGGTCGTCACCGAGCCGCTGGGGTGCTGTCGGCAATGGTGCATTGCTGTGAGCGAAGATGTGCTATGTGCGTGTGCGCTGTGGTGCCCCCGCGTTATGTGCATGCGGCACGCTAGTGTCCATGAATGCGTCGTGCGCCGTGGCAACACGAGGACTGCGTGCGCAGCGTGCGCGCGCGCGCATGCGGACCATACATGATGCTGCTGCAGGTACTGAGTGCTACGCGCAGGTGCCGCCTGTAGGGTCGCAACGCGGGGTGCATATGAGGCCTGGCGCGTGCTGTTGTGCGCGCCTCGCGCGGTACCGTCGCCACCATCGCATGCTGTATGTCTCTTATGTCCACACGGTGCACGCATGGAGCGTGTGCGCGCTGCGCTCGTGTTGCCTGTGTGGTGGTTCTGTTACGCCCGTTGCCTGCTGCTGCAGGCTTGTGCGCATGCCACGCACATGATGCGCAACGCGGCCGTGTGGTCCAGGCGCACGGTTCTATACTGCGCGTGCGGTGCTGACGTTACTGTGACGGGCGCCGCGACCACATGGTGGCATGCGGCCACAGTCTGCGCATACTGCGCGCGCGCGCCGCGCGCGTGGCGCACGTGTTCGCTTCATGCTGCTGCATCCGACGCCTGCGCCTGGCGTGCGCATTTGATACCAGGCGCGCGGCGCGTTGCTGGCGCAGGGCGCGCACTTGCTGCTGCTGCGGCGTGCGCAGTGCAGTGCACGCCTCATGTCCTCGTGCACTGTTGTTGCGTGCTGCACATTGTACCTTACGCTTTTGGTGGTGCCACGTATGTGGCCGCACTGTGTGCTGTCATGTTGCCGCGTGCGATTCGGTTACTCTTGCGTCCACTACACGTGCGGCCTGCATGCAGCATTGTTCTATTCCTGTTCTGCTGCGCTTGTTGCGCATAGCGTTTCATGTCCCCCTGTTGCCTTCGTGCCTGCGCGTGTGCTGTGCAGGCCAGGTTGTGCCAACCTGGTCGTGGTTCACGCACGTTGCACTCCAGTGCCCCCGTGTTGCGCACTTGTTCCAGCACCCTGCGCCATCCCGCCTCGTTTTTTCCCCTTTGTCGGTTGCTCCTGCGCGCTTCGCGCGCTTTTGGTTGTTGCTCCTCTACGTGCCGTCGTGGGTACTTGTGTATGTTGTCGTGCAATCCTGTTCACGCAGTCCCGCGCGTGCTTGCTGCTGATTTCGCCCACTTTTTCACCACCGTGCCTCGTTCTGATGTGCGCTTTTCCATGGCCCTTTCTCCATTGCATCGCGCACTCGCGCGTACCCTTCACGCTTTTGTCACATGTCCCTGCATGCACTTGCGACCTTCTGTGTGCTCTACCTTCGGCTTCTATGCATGTCACGATACTCCACTTGTTTTCTTTTTTTTTTTTTTTTCCCTCTCATCACCCTCGTGCTGCCGATGTTCCCTGGTTTCGGTGCTTTTGTTGTTTTCTTGTTTCTACACCTGCGTTCATGCCTTTTACTTTTTTACTTCCGTGTTCCCTTTGCGCTTATGTTTTTCCCTAGTTTCTCTTCTTCGCCGCATTTTCATATTTCCTGTTTCTCCCCTTTCTTTTATTGTATTCTTTTTTTTTTCTTTTTTTTTCTCCTTTTTTCTCCTTTTTTATCGTTTTTTCCTTTTTTCTCCTTTTTTCTATTTTTTTCCTTTTTTCTCTTGTTTTTCTTTTTTTTCCTTTTTTTCTATTTTTTTTTTATTTTCCCCCCTTTTCCTCCTTTCTTTGCTATCCTTCTACTGCATCCCTTTGTCATTGCCTTTTCCTGCATGCTGCTCCTCCGCAGCTCCTTTTGTTCAATGTGGTAAAGTATCCTTACCGTTGCATGGCATTCCTATGTTTTTTTCGCCATTTCACTTCGTGCATCGCACGCCTCTTTGGGTTTGTTGTTTTTTTGCTTTTTTGTTTTTTCGCATTCTACGACTGATCTGCCGCGCTATTCGAATTTTTTATCATTTTGTTCTTTCTGTTGCTGCATTCGCATCCAGCCTGTTGTTCGTTCCACGCGCTTATTCCATTGCCTGAATCTTGCACCTGCGCGCGAATCCATATTTTATTTTCCACTACCTCTCATACTATTTGTCATCTGCGGCGTCCACGCCATTGCATCCGTTCATGGTGTTGTGTTTGCATGCTTGCTGCATATGGGCTCACCGTACACCATCCGTCTGCGTGCACCGCGTATTAGGCATCGAAGCCGCTCACACGCGGCTCCAGTGTACGCAGCAGCCGAGTGCAACAAGGACGACAGATTGTCTCTCCGAGCAAACGTGGCCGGGTAAACGGATTGTTCGAGTAAACGATTCGACGGATTGTCCGAGTGTAAGAAGGAGGAGATTGTCTCTCCGAGCAACGCATCGGTCCGAGTGCAAGACGGATACGACGACGTAGCCGAGTGTAAGAACGGAGGAGAGATTGTCTCTCCGAGCAAACGCGTCGACCCGCGCGGCCGATTGTAACAACGATTCGATGCAGTAGCCGAGTGTAAGACAGGAGGGAGAGATTGTCTCTCCGCGCAACCGCGTCGACCACAGCGGCCGCTGGTAACCACCATTCGACGAAGTGGCCGAGTAAGCATTGTGCCGAGTGCAAGAAGTGGGAGAGATTGTCTCTCCGAGCAAACGCGTCGACCAACGCGGCCGGGTAAACGGGATTGTCCGCGTGTAAAAAGAAGGAGAGATTGTCTCTCCGAGCAAACGCGACGACCAACGCGGCCGGGTAAGAAGGATTCGACGAAGTAGCCGAGTAAGCGTTGTGCCGAGTGTAAGAAGGAGGCGCGATTGTCTCTCCGAGCAAACGCGGCTGACTATCAGACGGATTCGACGAAGTGGCCGAGTGTAAGAAGGAGGAGGATTGTCTCTCCGAGTAAACGTGGCCGGGTAAACCGATTGTCCGAGCAAGCGCGTCGACCAACGCGGCCGAGTGTAAGAAGGAGGAGAGATTGTCTCTCCGATTACAGCGGTTCGACCAGGTAGCCGGGTACACGGATTGCCACCGAGTGAACGGATCCAGGGGGCGGGCAGAGAGCGGGGGGCGAGAGGAAGGAACACACATATTTTGTGGGAAGGCTAACGAGAGAAGGACGGCGAATTGAGATTCACTTGGATTAGTGTAGAACGGGCGTTGTTCTTTAGGACGGTATTTCATGTTAACGGCGGTATTTGTTGTTAAGGTGGGTGTTTGTTGTTCACGGGGGATATTTGTGATTAAGGGGGATATTTGTGATTAAGGGGGGTATTTGTGGTTACGGGGGGTATTTGTCGTTAACGGGTGTATTTGTTGTTAACGGGTGTATTTGTTGTTAAGGGCGGGTATTGTTGTCAGGGATTTTAAAAAAGAGAGAATATTTTTTTTGCATATAGAGGACTTGAACTATTTATTAAAAGGAACTGTTGTCTTGAGGTGACTATACAGTTACTGTGCAGGTGGAGTCAGTGTCCAGGGATGTCAAATATTATATAAGGAACATCATGGCGACGTATGTAAATATATTGTGGGAGGATTACATTAGCAACAGGGATACGGGAGTAACAAAGAATGATAAAGAATTTCATGTAAGTGCATATATATGATGAATTACGATCGGAGGGTGAATTGTAGTATATACGTATATTACGGCATAGGCACAAACTACACGAAAAAGTTTCATGCTTCCACGTTGTCGCGTATTATATTTCTTATGGACCCGGCACAAACATATATGTGGTACCACGCACTACAATTATGCGCGGAATTCTGTGGAAGGCACATATTGATGCAGGTCATACAGTTCGTATATAAATATTTAATGCATACCCTGCCTCTAGACCACATTCTGGCAGCATATACCGGACGTATGGGGATCCTTTAGACAACATATGGACAACACTGCGCATGATGATTTTATAGAGCCCCTGTGTCAGATGGACCACGCGACGCATGCAGAACGCGCGCAGGAGGAATTCAGTGACAACGATAAAGCTGTGTGCTGGTTAGCACTTAAAGCATTAGGTTTCAAAAATGGGATTCAATGGGAGAACCGCAGCACGCACTTGAATAATGTGGAAAAGCAGGATGCTAAAATAGAGGCGTATATGAAGTGTGTTTTAGTGAATATATTTATGAAGAGGATAGTCGGGGAAAAATGTTTGCGCACGGCTGGTGGCAAAAATGCGTTTCAAGCCGCGCAGGATTGGGTAAGGACCGGACCACGCAAGGAGCCTAATATGGAATGTGAGCAGCAGGAAAGGATGGACGGGACAGGGCGGAGGTCACAAGACACGCAAGAGTGGGATTTATGGCCCATAATGGAGAGATGGATTGAGAGGAATAGGGAATATTATAGAGATGGGGAGGAGGGAGTATTAGGGAAGGAATGCACGGTAAACATAGGAAAGAGTGCACGAGAAATAAAGGAGGAAGCGAAGAAAGAAATTGAGGTGGTGCGAAAAGAAATAGAGGAAGAGGTGCAACAAATATTGGAAGAACTACATAAATCCAGCGGAGGCGAGAAGATGAAGGATATAATAGAGAGAGTGAAGCAAGGAAATTCATCTTCAACAAGTCGAAAAAACAACGAAAAGTCACCGAGGGAAGACCCGGACAGATCATCATCATCAAAGACAAGATCATCATCACCTGGCACGCAACAACCGGGTACTGAAGGAAAAGTAGGTGGGGCCGTCGCCAAACACGCGGACGGCTCAAAACCAGCAGATACAGCAACGCCGGAAACCACACGATCGGGCGCATCGCCAGGTAAGGACCGATGGGGAGCACGCACGAATACGAACACGGCCGCACACGAGTACGGCGAGATACGGCCGCGTATGGATGCCGCCACCACAACCACGCACACGCGGTGACAGCAATGCACACGACGTCGTTGACGTTGAGCGAGCAGCGGTCACGACGGCATCGGCGATGAGCGTGTAGCGACGGCGCATGTACCGGCGACGGCCACGACGGCGATGAGCGCGTAGCGACGGCGAGATGACGGCAACAACAAATAAAAGTTGTACTGCTACTATACCACCTCACGTATGCGTGATGCCGCTACCTGATCGAACCGTCCCGGCCCCTTCTTTCTGTGACACTTGTGTCCCTTTTTTTTTTTTATCATCTTTCTACCATCTTTCGTCCTTACTGCAGGTTCAGGGGCCGCTAAGCCTGTGACACCAAAACCGGCAGCACCCGGGGGATCAGGCGGAGGATCAACGGAACAAAGCCCAGGTCAAGGACCAGGACCTGGACAACAACCCCCCCCACCTGCACCGGCAGGAGAAAACGGGACGAAGGGAACAGAGGCCCAAACGCCAAAGGAGCCTGTTACCCATGACCAGACGGACAAAACTACAGGTAAGGAAACTACTTGTACCAAGGTTACGACTGTGTCCAGTGCTGGAGAATCATCCCCTGGAAAGAATGCTGATCGTATTCAGGAGAACCTAGGTGGCACAGGGCATTCTACAATATCTATCTCTGTTCCAATTACCACGCCCGAATGTTCCGACAAAGGTAACAGTGTTTCACATGAACATACTTCTGGCATTGCACGCTGTGTGGCAATACGCCTGCTGGAATATTAAAGGGAGAAAAAAAGAAAAGAAACAACTTTTCCGGAGAGACAGAGGGAGAGAGGGGCAGAGAGAAACCAAACGTCGAATGAGAATGAGCGGGGGAGAGCGGCAGAGCGACGGGTCGGCCGCGGGTGACGTAGAGACGTAGACGTAGACACACACACACACACTGTGTGTGTGTTGTGTGCTGTGTGTGGGAGACAGAGACAGTCTTTTCCCGGCGTGGCACCGTGCCCGTGGCACCATGGTGGCAACCATGAGCGAATGGAGCGTGTGGCCAACCAAACAAACATCCAACGCACAAAACTTCAGTTTTCTTCCATATTCTTCTTCCTTTCACCTCAACTTATAGGTAAAGATTCTACCACAAGCACAAGTACACCGAAAACCTCGATACCACCAGAACCATCTGCACCCGCAGGTCCAGGCGCGGATCCAGCATTAACGGAGCCTGCCCCGAAAACAGCAGTTGAGGAATCGGCACGTACAAAAACAACAGGAGCAGTAGATGAATCTACAGGAAAGGTAGATCAACACGCACCTGACACTCCATCGATCCGTGAACCCGCGGAACCCGGTGAAAAGGGGAAACCCAGTTCAACCGGTGACACCTCCAAGAGTCCGCCCCTGCAGGATGCCGCACCTACGATACATAAGGGCAATGATGACCCCCCTCCTCTGAATCCACCCAAACCCAAACCGAACCCGAACCCCGATCAGATGGGGTCGAGCGGCACTCTTCCCGATGGCCAGGTACCAAGTAGTTCGGGAGAAGGTACTGAACAGGGTGGAGGAGGAGGCGGAGGTGGGGCAGGAAGTGGAAGTTCCTCATCCTCAGGATCCGGTTCTACTGGTCACCAAAACCCTGGTTCTTCAGGACCAGGCACCGCAGGAGAACATTTGGGTGCAGGTAGTCCGGCAGGAGGAGATGCACCAAAGGAAGATAATGGAAGTGGTTTAACAAAAACAGAAGAGAAGACAGAACTAATGAATGACCAAAGTACCTCCTGGCCCGGCCGCAGATGGGAAGATATCAAGCCGTACACCCCCGCGATGATCCCCGCGGTGGTTGGTATTGCGGTGATTGCCTTTTTCCTGTGGAAGGTAAGTATATACGGCAATCCGGGCATGCCGCATGTGCCGGATGTTTATACCTCAGAACATCCCTACGGGCTCCAATATATGATCGTTCGCACCAATATACTCCTACACCCGCGTTCATTCCTGTTATCCTACCGTGCTCACCCTCCTCTTTACCCCCCTTTTTCTGTTTAGTACTTTGCGTACCTGGCCAAACGACGACGAAAGTTTCGAACCGTTCGTGACGTGCCGTCACCGCCACTCGACGAAGAAATTCTAGACCATCTACAACGCGGCGACCTGCCGCCACCCGATTACGGGTACACGATGGTTAGGGATAGGAAACGTGCGTCCACATCCGGTAGAGGCCGCCCCCGACGCGTGCATACGCGCACGATTATCGAGCTACATCTAGAAGTGCTGAACGAATGTGAAGCAACCGAGTGGGAAAACGTCAAAGAGGACTATTTGCAGATTGTCGTGCAGGAGTTTGCGCAGGAGTTGATGCGGCACGAGGACACGAATAACAATATCTTGGGTGTTTCTACCTCAGACCAGGGTTTATCAGGGAACCATGTTTCCTTCACCGTGGATCCATCCACTGACGCCGACGGAACGGATGCATGTCCACCACATGACCCCGATCCATGCAGTTGTATGGACACTATACAGTTACCAACGGACCCTTGCCCACCCAATGCACACGACCCCGATCCATGGAGTTGCATGGAAAACATACAGTTCGCAACGGACCCTTGTCCACCTAACGAAGGTAACCCCGATCCATGGAATTGTATGGACACCATGGCGTTAGCAACGGACCGTTTTCCACCTAACGAAGATAACCCATGGAGTTCTATGGAAACTATACAATTACAAACGGACCCTTCTGCTTCTAACGACGATAACCCCGATCCATGCAAGTGTATGGAAACCATACAGTTAGCAACGGACCCTTCTGCTTCTACCGAAGAGGACCGATGGCATTGTATGGAAACCATACAGTTAGAAACGGATCAATGTCCACCTAACGAAGATAAGCCCGATCCAGCCACACACACACCCACCTGTGCTGATCCTACGCCCGACATCACACAAAAACCTGGCCAAGCTGACCCAGTCCTGCACATACCCACATGTGAAACCGTCACGCATACCACCACGCGTGAGGACGCTAGGGCCAAAATCACAGACATACCCACATGTAAAGCAGTCACAGACAGACACACATGTGAGGATCCTAAGCCCGAAATCACACAACCACCAGGCTCCGGTAACGCAGTCACAGACACACACACATGTGATCATCCTCAGCCTGACATCACACAACACACAAGCACACACGCCACAGTCACGGACATACCCACATGTGAGGATCCTAAGCCCGAAATCACAGACACACCCACATGTAAAGCAGTCACGCACATACCCACATGTGCACACGTTACGCCCGCAATTACACACCCACCATGCTCATGTGCCCTAGTCACAGACACACCCACATGTGACACCGTCACGCACATACCCATATTGAACGACCCAGGCACAAACACACACACATGTGATCATCCTGAGCCCGACATCACAGACATACCCACGCACGACACAGTCACGCACATACCAACATGTGAGGATCCTGAGCCCGACATCACAGACATACCCACGCACGACATAGTCCCAGACATACCCACATGTGA